ATTTAAGCTTTTTAAAAGAAAGTTCAAATTCCTCAAAGGATAACTCAAAGGAGTTTAAGAACGAAGTTATTGGAAAAGCATAATTATTCAATTTGTTTTTCAAGATAGGAATTTGTTGGGCCAAATTAGGACCAACTGATAAAAAATATTCATTTATTTTGTTCGCTATTGCAATTTGATCAAATGATGTTTCTTCATTAATCTTAATAGTTTTAGGCAATGAGCTCGTTTTTAATTTCTGCAAGCCAGTGAGTTCTCTTAGAATTTCCCACGTACGTTTTGAATTAAGATTATTTCTATCAAGCAAATTAGAATAGTAATTTTTTTTTTTCTTTTTTTTTTTCTGTCTTTCAAATTCTTTAGCGTATCTTTTATAGAGAACTTTATTTTGTTCAGTTTTTGACTTTAAATATTTTACGTATAATTTTTGTTTAATTTTAGAGGATTTTTTTAGTTCTTTTGTGATCCAAGGTGACATTAAACTTTTAGCTTTTTTATTTACTATTTGTTTTGGAAAATTAGCATCGTATATTTCATAAAACGTTTTAAAAAACGTATTATAAACTAAATTAGCGTCAGCACAGGTATCTATTTGTTTCCAATGAAGATAAGATAATTGTTCTTTAAATGTTTTTAAATTATCATTAGAAAAAAAACGTTTTTTAAAAGTTTGTTTTTGTTGAGATATTATATCTGCGTCGATATTAATAGAGAAAAAAATTGGGAAGTGGTCCGAGACGTCACTTTTAATAATGCCTTTTTTTAGAGATTTATTGAAAACATCAGTTGTAATAATATTGTCAATTAAGGTTTTTGATGTAGGAGTTATTATTGTTGGTTTGTTAACTATGGGAAAAGCACCGAGTTCAAATAATTCGTTGTAAAATTTTTTAACGCCATAATTAGTGTGGTATTTGTAATAATCTAAATTAATGTCACCTATTAAGTAGTATAATTTATTTTCACAAATGCTTTTTTTTAAAATGTCATTTGAAAATAAATTAAAGTTTTCTATACTGCCCGAAGGTGGGCGATAACAAAAACTTATAATTAAATTTTTTTTTTTTTTTTTTTTGTTTGGATTTCAACTGTTAAGACCTCATTATCGTCATCAGAATTGCTCATGTCAGGCCTGATAATATACTGCAAATATTCTCTAATATAAACTATTAAACCTCCGCCTCGCTTTCCATTTTTTCTATCCAAAGAAATTATATTGAAACCTGGTAAAAAAATACTTGAATTCAAATTAGAGTTATTAGAGTTACACCAGGTTTCAGACATGCAAATTAAACTAAAAATATTAATTTGTTTTCAGAACATAGCTAATTGAAATTTTTCCCATTCAACTATCATATTGTGGTTCAAAAATATTTTTTACTAAATTTTATTATTTGCCCTGAAGGTCCCTCAAAGCTCCTAAACATTTGACAGGTCCCTAATATTATTGAAAAAAAAATTACTTAAAAGTATGTCAACTTGGTACTCAAAAAAAGCAAAATCATTTAAAAATTTCAAAAACAAAAAGTATTTTTTATAAAAATAACAATATTAGGTTTTTTTGAATAAAAACTATAATTTTTAAACGAAAAGTGAAAAAAAGGTAATATTCACAACATTTATAATAATAAGTTTTTTTGAGTTGTTTTTTATAAAAAATAAATCTAATTTTTAAAATTTTTGTAAAATTTTGCTTCTTTTGAGTATCAAGTTGACATATTTTCAAAAAAAATTTTTTTTAATAAAAAACAAAAAGTATTATTTCAAAAACAAAAAGTATTTTTTTTATAAAAATAACAATATTTGGTTTTTTTGAATAAAAACTATGGTTTTTAAACGAAAAATAAAAAAAGGTATCATTTACAGCATTTTTTTCATAATAAGTTTTTTTAAGTTGTTTTTTATAAAAAATGAATCTAATTTTTAAAATTTTTATAAAATTTTGCTTCTTTTGAGTACCAAGTTGACATATTTTTAAACAACTTTTTTTTTAATAATATTAGGGACCTGTCAAATGTTTAGTGGCTTTGAGGGACCTTTTGGGCAAATAATAAAATTTAGTAAAAAGTATTTTTGAACCACAATATGATAGTTGAATGGGAAAAACTTCAATTAGCTATGTTTTAAAAACAAATTAGCATACTGAACAGCCCTAATATATATATATATATATATACATATATATATATATATATATATATATATATATATATATATATATATATATATATATATATATATATATATGTATATATATACATCATGTATATATATACATCATGAAATCATGTGCAACTGTGCAGTCAATTATCAAGAAATACTAAACCACCAAAAAAACTGCTGATAAGCCACGAATAGGACGTCCAAATAAAATTCAAGTATTGCTTCGACGAGCTATTTTAAGAACAGTCATCTAAAATCCTAAAATAAGTGCTCCGAAACTTCCTGGAAAGCTGCAAAATGATTACAATTTAAAAGGGGACCCTGAAACTGTTATAAC